CCTCACATCCTGCTTCCAGATCATTTGGGAGGATTTTTCTCCCTCTTGTTCCCGTTTCTCTGTCCACTATATCCAACATAATCACTCAACCTTACTGATAAGGAAGCCACTTATCTGCTTCAAAACATCCAGTAGGAACAACTTTCTTTGAAGGAGCACAGAAATTCTCCCCCAGATCACACCTCTGTGTCACTTATCCAACAGGGTAACCGCACTCAGCTGGATGCCCCCAAGACATTACTCAGCTTTCTTCAAAAACTGCTAACAGCAAGAACCGTGATAAAATATGGAACACAGATTAAGACCATTAGTCTAGACCAAACAGGAAAAAAGGATGCTAATGACTTATATCACTGTCCTACCTGGAAATAAAATCGGTGATCTATAACTCAAGAATAATTCTCTTTCGTTATAGTTCACCTGAATCACCCAGGGTCTACTCACAGTATTTAAAATTTATTTTTACTTTTTTTATTATATGAAGGTTTTGGGGTTGTTTTTTTTTTTGCAATCTTCCAAAGAAACCGAGCAACAGAACTCTGCATTCTCTAAAAGTAATGTTTTTAATGCCTACTTAACTGATTCAATACATACACTTCCTAAATGAACACTAGGACTGTATTTTCCTATGGAAGAAGAACAAGCTGCATCATTTAAAGTATGTTGGAAAGAGGTGAAACATAACCCTAAATTACAAAAAAGCGCTATGAGAAACCTTACCTCCTTCCTAATATACATTCACACATATAAAATTAAGATACTCAGACAAGATGTTAACCCACCTCACAAACCCACATGGGCTTCTCTACCGAAATCAAGACACAGAGTTTAAAAAGAGTCAGAACCTGTCAAAATATTTTTTTTCGTGTCTTTTTCTGCTAATGCTAATCTTCTGATATTCAGAAGCAAAAGCTTTTTGCCTTTTGCTGGCCTAAAGGCAGAGAGAGAAACAAAATGCTTAAGCTTTCCTTCCGCCTATAAATTTGGTGATTTGACCCGTCAGACCAATTGTTCTTCAAGACATTTCACTAGTTGCCCTGCAAGTCCTCTTTCCCAAGACAGGCTCTTGGGAAACTGACCTCTTTTGCACCGTGTACTGAGACTGGAGAGGGTTTTTCTTACTAGTGAGATTGATTGCACAGTATTCTCAGACTACACAAGCTTTTATTTCTGAATAAGCTGGCCTATGGCATCCCCATCAGCTTACATCTCAATGTAATCTCACTGACACGGGTTGCAATTTGTGTGATTTTGTCTTCTATCAGTTATGAACTCCCATATTACACATACAGGCAAATACACAATAAAAGACTTAAGCTTTCTTAAGCCACCTTACAAGATGTTTTCATAAACAAACACACTGTATGCTGCACAAATTATTCAGATCAACTTTTCTTTGTTAGAGACATTCCAATGAGCTCCCAAAAGCAGAGACGGTCTTTGCTGTCTGTATTCTGCTTCTAACAAAGGCAGCTTTGTTCCATCAGAAATGGCCTTGTCACGCATTAGAAGCCTATCTTGGTGTTTCTGGAGAGCTTCCATTAAAATGTTCTATGTCAAAGTTCCTAGATACAAGCTTTAAGCAATTTTGACTAAATATAGTATTTTTATCAGTTCACGTTCTTTAGCTCACCAAACTTTTGTCTGAGCAACCAAAACAGGTAACTACACTCATACACTCATACTCAGATTTTATATTTTTAAGTACAGGAAAGGCTGCTTAAAATACAGCATAATGGGACAGATTTTATGGGACAGCTCACTTTTATTACAATTTTATAACAAAAGGATGTATTTTGCTACCTTCAAAGACCTTGAAAATGGGAAGTGATAGTTTGGAGATACCAAGAAAGAGGCTTCTGTTTTAAAATCACTTTCATTATTTACACAAATGAGGTTGTAGAAAGCCAGCACAAAGTTTTGTTGTAGTTTAACAGTATTGCATAACTCAGGAAACAAAGTACGTTTTCATTTAAGCTTAAAAAGGAGTTACAAATTCTGTTTTTACTCCAAGTTACAAAAAAAACAAGTTCTTAAACCGTTAGACTTTCCAGACAAGAGAAAATAAGATTATAATTTTAGGCTAGTGTGGTATTTTTCCATTCTTTCTTTCCCCACCTCCCTGCCACTTCCTTTGAAGACTATTAATCAAAAGGGTTATAAGAATTCCCCTAAAAATATTGCTCTCCCCACCCCCATCTCTGCTTTAAATATTTTAAGTGCGAAATGTAAAAGCGGATTTAATGATTTGGAAGGCTTATTCAACACAGGGGAAAACACAAACGAGCAAAAACCAAACACACGCCTACTCACAAAGCTATACTAGTATGGTCAGCTGTGTCTTACAGAAACAATCTAAAGGAGAGGCAAAGTCTGCAGGCTAATTAAACCTTTGATTTCTATTACGCTATCTAAAAAAGATGGCAATTACCCCCTAATACACGATGGTTCTGTGATAGCAACATTTGTCTAGCAAAAAACTAAACTCCTAATACTTTACTTTTACAATTCACATTTCTTGTAAGCAGAAGCCTTTAAAAAGTACTATTCCTCAAAAATAAGGACTTTGATAACCTGCACTCCCTGACAACATTACTGTCATACAACTTTCATTCCTGTGGTGGCTGTGCATTCAGAAAATACCCAGCTTCTGGCAAAAGACCTCAACTATAAGAGAGAGAGAGAAACAAAAGGGAACAGGGGGATGGAGAAATGAAGATACACCGAGTAAATCCAAATGTACAGCTATTATATAGCAAATTAGGTTTGCACTTGACACAATACTCTCTCACATGTATGCTCCATGAAGCAAAATCTTATTACTGCATAAACTTCAGAAGACATAAAATCAAACTGCTGCACAACAGATGTAAAATTCCACAGACTTTGAGGGGCTTCAGAGAAATAGGAGCTAAGAAAGGACATTACCATGACTGGGAACATGAAATTTGAGAAGTTCCACAAAGGTAAATACAGGTTTAATGCTAAAGAATTCAAAACAATTTCTACAAGAAAGAAAGAAAGGGGACAAAAGAAAAGGGAACAAAAAAAAAAAAGCTGAAAAGGTGGGACTGACTCCAGAAATATTCCTAGTCTGACAGATTCCTTATATACCCATTAGCCCCATTTCTCAAGTGACGCTAATATTTTTCTGTTCCTCATGTAGACAGAGATACATTTAAAGCTGTACAGTGCTATGGTTAAGATCAATCAGTATCTTAAGTAGGCCACGTGCATCCTTTAACCATCGGGCTTGATTTCAAACTGGAAATAAGGTATAAGAAAAGAAGCACAGACATTTTTATTTTTTAGTTAGATGACAGAAATTCACCTGCTGATACTGTTATTAACCAGGCTACAGTAACAAACAAATTATAACAAAGCAAAACCTCATTAAACAACTTTTTGAAATAGAGTTTAAAGTATTTATAACCCGAAGCATGCTGTGAGTGCACATATATATGCATGTCCCATATTAAATAATGCTGGCAGTAATTATCAGCAATCATAAAACACCTTTCAGCATTTGTATCATGTAAGATCTGCCAACATTTCCTTTTCATTTGGCACTATTTGTAGTGTGTCCATTTTTCTTGCTCTTGACTTTGTACTGAAAAAACTTATCAAAAAAAAAAAGCACAGCACAGCAGATCTTTTTAAAATAAATACAAGTCTCTGGTGTCAGGTGCTATGGCGTGCACAACACTCTTCATAAACAGTAAAATGCCTATGCTGTTTACATAAAAGATACCACAGTCACACAGTATGCTGCACATTAAGTACTCTGTAGAAAGTAAACAGTGATTCAACTGATTAAGGAAAACACCGCAAGAGTCAGTTCTTAAGGGCAAGTACAAAACTCTTGCTCAATTTTTAACAGTTTAGTAAGGGCAGACTGAGCTTAATTTGACAGACTGTAAAGACTAGGTATGACTGCTTAATGTATTAACATTTAGCTTAGGAACTGTTTAGATTTGAAGGATGCTTACTTCTACTAAAACACACTATGTTCTTTCCTTCTCCCAATTTTTAGAGAAATTAACACCATGCCTATCCTGTTAAATGTGACCTCAAACATAGTGGCAAGGCGAGTCTGTCAAACTCATGTGCATGTTCACTGTTATTTGCATTTTCCATCTTCAAACCAACATGACAGTTTTGGAAGAAATGGTTACCACTCCAAAATGGTTACCTGAGATTCCAGTAAAAAACTTGCTTTTATGTTCAGTTATTAAAATAACAACTGGACATCTCCAGTTCAGCCTACCTGTAAGTTCTCGTCACTAAATCAGTAGAGCCAGAAAAGTAAACAACTGTTGAACTTTAAAAATAGAGTATTCTGGCAAGAAAAGCTAAGATTTTTCCAAATAAGAGCAACATGCCTCAGAGAACAAGAACGTAGGTAAGGCATAGCCTGAGTCTGCAAATACTACCATGTATCATAGATAGTACTAACCAAAGCTCTACTAATCAAGGGGCTGCAACGAGGTATAGAAGGAAAATATAATCCAAATAAACAGGGGCTTACTCATATTATAAAAACAGAATCTACGGTTAGCAAAATAAAACCTCAGCTGTTTGTATTACATGAAATGATTCTTTAGCATTGCAGAGCACATATTTTGGTGCTCTGAAAGAACAGAGAATCAAATTCCATTTAAATTATTTACACCTTATAAAAAACTAAGACCTTGCATATTAATACATGCAACATTTGACTTCTGATTCTTAAACTGTCAGGCCTAAATTTTGTTGAATTTGCTACCTTGCAGCTGTTCCTTCATTTTGTGGTAACATTAAAGACGCTGTTTTATATACCACATTTCATTACTTGCTTGAAACATATTTTGACTACTATTAATCATTCTCAGGTATAATTTAAAAAAAAAAAAAAGTATTGTAAATAATTTAAATTTATAATTACTAAATTTTAAATTTAAGTTTATAATTTTTAAAATGTTTAATTTTTTTAAAATGTAGAAATTTATTGCTACACTTACTTTTTGCTTGCTTCGTAAACATCCGTGATATTGGAGAAAAGGTGATGGCTTTCCGTTTTGGTCATTGTGAGACTCAGTTCCCTGGAATTTTTAAACATCCGGATCAGAATCTCCAAGCTCAGCAAATAAGAATGCTCAGAAGATATAACTTCAAATATTGCCTGCAGGGTGGAAGGAGGAAAAGAAAAAAATTACTATTGACTAGGCTTTTTTTTTTTTTTTTAAAAAAAAAAAAAAAAAGAAAATGTGGAGGAAGGGTGCAAAGAAAAACTAGAGATTATAACATAAATACTCATTTCCATGATAGCTGCATCATTTATTTAGAAGTAATTTAATACTAGAAAAAAACCTTTTTAAAAAAGTCTATATTCAGATTTTTCAGTGCAACTGCAGAGTTTGAAGACAAAAACTTAACACCAACTATGATCACTCCCATTCATACTCCTGAAAGGTAGTTTGATTTTGTTTTGTTTTGGTTTTTTTTTTTTTTTAAATTAAAAAAAACACACCTGTTTCTGTGGTCCGGTTGGAAGCTTCGTATCAGTCATACTACTGTTGACAACCAGTATTTGCTTTTGATTTTTTTAAACAGAAGCTAGTAAGTTATTTGCTTGAAAGTGTTCTTGGGTAACAGAGCTCTGCTTACTCAAACATCTGCAGAAAAGCAAAACCCTTTGCAAAATTCAGGTTTTACTCATGTAACAGCAGTGATACCTTGGTTACTTTTAAAACGTCAAGTTAGGAGCAGGCTCATGAGCAGCTGAGCTATCTGCAGCAAGGAGGGAAGCCTGGAAGCAGAGCAGACAGGAAGGGGTGGCAGCCATTATCCCCGTTAGCGATTAGTGACCAGACAGGCAGACCTCCAGTTCATTCCCTCACCTCCCACAAACAACAACTCTGTTTTATCACCCTGCCACTTAAAGAGTAGCCACTGTAACTTCCATCAGCTGGCTGACATACAAAGCAAACTTTTAATGGACTCTTGGACTTTGATATCCACATACTTGTTCCATTGGAAATTTTAATCTCTGATATAGAAACCTATTCAGCTTTTAGACATCTTTCACCTCTCTAGGCTTTATTTGCTGTTAATCTACTAGAGTTCTTATATGTATATACATGGAAAAAATTTTCATGAACCCTTTTGTCATGAGCTCCACCAAGTCATATTTGTCATCAGTGCTACCTTCCAGGCATTACTAACACAGAATAATACCATCAGCAGAGATAATATAACTTTGTTCTCATTATAACTACTGTTAATACTTGCACATATAATGTCGTTAATTATTTGCAACTAAGCATTCTCAAACCAAAGGAGAAATATGTACTTTAAATGCAACAGTGCAGATCTGAGTATTTAGGAAGGCTAATGCCCATGGCTCTACAAACACACAGAGAGACGAAGAGAGGGTCTTGCAGCTGACAGTCTACAGGAGAAGTTCACTTAGATGGTCTGATGGATGTGCTCTAGAGAAACCCTGCTCTTCTGTGACCAGGTATAAAGGCAAGGGAGACTATAGGCAGATTGAAGGCAGTCTTCCTGAATATTCCCAACTGCCAACGGGGACAAACCATACTGGGAAAAAACCACAAAACATTCTGCTGGGGACATTTGTTCACAAGATTTCTTAAAGAGTCCAAGTCTAGTGAATTCTGCTGGTGTTACTAAGGTAAGCTTTTGATCAAATACAATTTCTCTTGGGTATCCTGAGTCTCAGTGTTCCCAGACTGTGCTTTCAAAATTATTTTTGCCCTTCTAAAAAGTCTCCTTCAAAGAACTGAGATTTTAATAATGAAATAACAAGTTTTGGATTTCTTAGAACAAAACAAACAAACAAAACAAAAAAAAACACCTTAAAGGTTTATACAGTGCAAAGAAGATTTATCAACTCCACAGAAAACCTACAGGGCCATTACACATACAAGGAAAGGAAGTCTAATGTACGTATCAGTAGTCTCTCCATCTTACTACCTACCTAAAAAGCTGAAGGGATCTAGTGAGAGATGCAGCAGCAGCTAGGTAACAGTTACAACATCCTACGTGCTATTCCAAAGAGTGAATACTGCTGTGCAAGAAGATATGCAAAGGTGATGCTTAAAATAATGTTAAACTGCCTGCCGGCCAACTCCATCAGCCTCAAGAATCTAGAGAACATATACAAACTCTGGCAGCAAATCTACCTGCTGCTTGGCTAACAATGTGCAGAAAGGGGCCTAAAAAGGGCATTTTGGCCTTTGCCCAGCAATTACATTTCCAATCTGCAGTCTCATTATACTTCTCCCAGCTGTGCTCACAAAGAAAGGATTTACCTAAGGATTGCTGTAGAGTTCCATGGCTAATGGGTTCCTATCCAGACATTTTTCAACAGGAAGATATACAAGCTCTCTTATTATTATTGTTTTGGAGGGGGTTTGTTTATGCTTTTAGTGAAGACCCTCATGGACTTCTTCCAGTTTGGTGACAGAAAGTCCTTAGCATAGTCAGAAATAAATGGGACAAAGAAAGATACTTTGCTTCTAATGTGTAAGGAAGGAAAAGAATATGATCTTATATGACCCAAACACATTTCAGAGAATAAAAAAGGATTAGAAACAACCTTGACTTTGACATACAGTAACTACACCACATTCAGAAGCTGGGGTGGCATTTACCAGGTGCTTGCTAACAGTGTTTCTGAATGACATCTGAAACCACACTGTGGTCAAGCTAATCAGATGTTTGAATCCTGATGGACAGTAAACACTCTTAAGCGGCAAGATGCATACTGCAGTTTGTACACGCATACACAGTTAGAGTTTCCAGCTTGGAAGAAAAGAAGATCTATCAAAAATTATTTTAGTTCAAATCTGTCTATATGACATTTTCTTTAGACAAAAGATGCAGAAATGCATCTCACTAATGTGTTCTGGAAGATGGGATGTGTATGAATGCATGACATTGACGTTTAATCAAGGTATAAAGCAACCATTTTTCTGCAGTGACAATGTATTATGATGGTAAAAATGGTCTAATAAGTTCTAAAAAGCAATTTAAAGAATGGATAAAGAATAATTGATAAAAGGCAATTTAAAAGACATACAGCAAAAGCACGACTTGGTAGTACAACTAAGTCTTAAGAATATTTATTTAGGCTCCCTCTGAAAGAATGGGCCTTTAATACTCAAATAAACACCTCAGGCCTGAAAACATGTTTGGTAACATTAAAGACTTTACATTTAAAAGGCATCTAAAGAACTTGTTCTCTTTGAAGGGACGTAAATATGACTCCAGGAAACACATAAAGCCACCTAAAGGATATGACTGAAATAAACGCTTTGTGTCTCAAAGCTTCCCAGCAGGAGGAGACAGAAAAGCAGAACACATGGCCTGAACTGCTGCACAGCCTCTTCCCCAAAAAAAGCAAAAGAAGATAGCCAAAGAAATGTAGCATTATAAAAAAAACCCCAACAAACTATTGTCTAAATCTCATGTATGCAGTACAAGATGTTTCTGTATTTCATGTATGATCACAACAGCTGAAGGTCACACAGCTAAATTAACATTTGAGGCTTGCTATACACATATGTGAACTTCACAGAAAACCCCACTCAGGTCTCACGTGGCTACATTCACTGAGGTATGTCCTGAAGTGAAATGAAGATATTGGAACAAATTTCCATGGCAGGTAATGCTACAGTGTTTCTATTCAAAAAACCTTGGTTGTTTTTCCTGTTGAAGGACATACCTCAAGAACTGCAGGTATATAGTTGGCTAGGTCAGGCTATTCTTTTCAACACCTCTCATTCATTTTGACATAGCCCCTGTAAGTAAGGAAGGAGGGTAAAGCAGATAAAGTGGACAAAAGGAGCAAAGAGAAAGAGGAAAGCAGATAAAGAGGACAAAAGGAGCAAAGGGGAAAGAGACAGAGAGAGAAAAGATAACTACATCAGTAACTGCTGCTGTTGCTGTACTGTTGACAGCATGGATGCACCTACTCCATTTCAGTGTGAAAGGAAAAAGGTTCGTTACACCAGATACACAGCGCTCACATGTTCAGAATTGTTCACAGGATTGGTTACAACTAAGGGGCATTGTAAAAAGCTGTTCTTTGCTCCTCACTGCCTTTAAAAATTTATGTGCCACCTCCTACCCTCTGTGAACGCAAGGTTAATTTTACACCTTCCCCGGTACAGCACACAGCAGTGACTGCCTGCTGCTACCGAGTAGCCACCAACCAGGCTACATCTGCTGGAGTGAGCATACCTAGGAACCACTCCTCCAGCAAGACCCGCAGGATGTTGGCAGGAGACCCGTGGCGGGGACATGCACATCAGCAATAGACACGTTTTGTTTATTTATTCTCCCCGGGGAGAGAAGACACTTCACTCTAGGACAGGAAGCAGTGTGATGAACCTGTCTCCTTATCAACAAATAGAGAGTATTAAATCAGGCATGCAGTGCATCCCCAAACAATCAACAAAAAACAATGTGTTACTTTAAAGAGTACCTCCTGTCTTTTTCTTTCTTCCTGGCTGATTGCTTCTGTTAATCCATTCTTCTTTACCTAAGGAAAAAAATAATTAAATTTTTAACATCTTTTGTAGAAAAATACAATTTAAAAAAAAAAAACAAAACCACACAAACCACAGAATTATCAAAACATTGGACTAAGAATTCAGCTAAAGAATCTGGCCACTTCAGAAAGACAGTGATGAACCAGCAGAAATAAAAAAAAAAGTCGGTAACGCCTGGCATTTGACTTATCGAAAGAACTAAATAATTTCATTAAAAACTATCCAGGACACACAGAGAGAACTATTAGAATCACAGAATCATAGAATCATTAAGGTTGGAAAAGACCTCTAAGATCATCAAGTCCAACCGTCAACCCAACACCACCATGCCCACTAAACCATGTCCCTAAGCGCCTCATCTACACGTCTTTTAAATACCCCCAGGGATGGTGACTCCACCACTTCCCTGGGCAGCCTGT